GATTTGGGATGCCCTTCGTGCAGCCACAAATGCAGCCGAATGTCTTGATTTTCAGATGGCCCAGGCAATTTTAGATGGCGCTAACGTATCTGTGCCCAATGGGTAAGTTTAACCCGGAGCTATTATCAAGTAAGCCACATCCCCTCCCAAGTACTTAAATGACGCGTCGAATGCACTAAACACTAATGACTTTTGACGCGTCCTATAAAAAATCAATAAATACAATAAAGTAAATTTACTTTTATTACATTGTCTAAATTACAATGTTGGCATATCGGAAAACTGCGCGTGCTGACGAGAGGAAAGCTTTTCAAAACAAATGTGTTCAAGAATCTAAAAGCCTTGTACACTTAAATGTGTTGCCCGAAACAGATGTTTAAAAGTCCAACAGCACTGGCATTGACTGGAATAGTTTCTATTAAGTGCACTGCTTCAATATATGTAATCAGAGTGAATTACTCTTCACTTTCAAGTCACTTTGATTTTTATTGGAAATTGTCGCTTTGCTTGATCTAGCAACTTCCCGTTAATCGACTAAAGTAGATCTGAGAGTCATAAAATTGCATATTATAAACAGAGTTTTATTGTTCTTTGGATATGTGTTTCTCGGGTGATAAACCATGACACAACCAGTGGTACAGAGAATCATTTGCTTCATAAAAATATTTACCTGTGTTATCAATATATAGGTTTAATTTTACTTGCTTGTTCAATTTTATGATTTGATTTTTACTTTACTTTTGGCTTAAGACTTTATTCAGTTATCAAGGTAGTTACTTAGATATTGGATACATCTTTTGCAGCTACCTCACAGAATGCTACGACGAGTTGGGAACACAATACAAGGTACCTATTTACTGCCTGTCATATCCCATTAACATTGTAAAGGAAGAGAATGGACGTGATTCGCCAGCCGAATACTCAGAGCCCGTTGACGGTGGAACCGAAATCATTCTTAAGCTGCGCATATCATCTTCAATGACTGATGTTAAACTGCCGGTATACTCTAAGGACACGGTGGGACAGTGCAAGAAAAAGCTGCAGGTGAGCTACTCTCTCATAGTTGCTTAGTTTTGATGAACACAATTTGCTAATCTTTAAATTGATGTTATGCATGCAGTCTGTTGAGGGAGTTGATGCGTGTTGCCAACGTTGGTTCTACAGCGGTAAGCTGCTGGGCGATAAGGTGCCCATTGATGAGTGCAGCATACACCAAGGCTATGTGGTGCAGGTCATTGTTAATACGGAGCACTACAATCACGACAACAGCACGAGTATTGTTCACATGTCGCTTGCGAGCTAGCAATGCACCAACTCCAAACTAGTCATCTTAGGTATCAACAGCGGCAACCAGCTTTGTGAACAGCATCAACAACCGGCTAACAGCAACAACAAAAGCAACAATGCCAAATACTCAGGCAACAGCACAATGAGCTTTCATTTCATGCACAAAGAACAACAAAAACAACAACAGCAAACGAATTGCATTTATCAGAAGTACTTGCACAATGCTGATAGCCTTGTTTTGTTTTTTTCTTTACTGGCTGCTCGCCTCGTTGCTGTTGTTGTTGCTGAATTGCAATAGCAATATATACAATTCTGAGCAAAAACAAAAATTTATGGAAAAACCTAAAAATATAAAAAATGAATCATATATAAATATATATTTTTTTGATAATC